AAGAGCGAAAAGGTTAATAATGTAGCAAATGAAAGGGAGCTACGTGGATGAGTTCAAGAACCTTGAAACTAACTATGATGAATTGAGGACATCTAATCCTGGCTCAGATGTCACAGTTGAAGTGAGCAAAGAGGCACTTGAAAATGGTAGAAGAGTATTTAGCAGGATGTATGTGTGGTTCATGGCTACGAAGGTAATTATGCACTTTTGCACCTATAATGTTAATTGAATTACTTGAGATGTTAATTTAACTACTTTTAATGTTACTTTAATTACTTTTAATGTCAAATTAATTTTTCTCTATTGTTTCATTGGGTAGATTGGATGGAAGGCTGGTTGTAGGCCCATCATATATGTTGATGGGACCTTTTTAAAGGGAAATACCATAAGGATCATGTTAACAGCAATTGGAGTTGGTGTTGATGATTGCTTGCATCCTATTGCTTTTGGGATCACACAGAAAGAAAACACTCAGAATTGGAAGTGGTTCTTGGAGTGGTTGAAGAAGTCTTTCGATCTTGGAGAAGGAGAACGTGTCACTGTCATCTCAAACATACAAAAGGTAATATTGATTGAATTTGGGTATATTATGTCATAAATTAGTTTATATTGTTGAAGGTAATTACTATTATTAAGTTGTAATTCAATTAACTTGAATGTAGGGGTTGCTTGTGGTTGTGTCTAGTGTCTTGCTTGAGATAGAACATAGGTTGTGTGCTAGGCACATCTATGCAAATTGGAGCAAGAGATGAAGAGGTGGGGAGCTAAAGAAGAAGTCTTTTACATGTGCTTGGAGCACATTTGAGGAGGAGTTCAATGACAACTTGAAGGCTTTAAGAGCACTAAATGAAGATGCAGCAAGGGCACTTTTAACTTACCCAGTACAATTACGGGTAAGAGCTTTCTTTAGCACAAGATCTTTGTCATGGATGGTAGATAATAACATTAGTGAAAGTTTCAATGCCCGGATTGATGATCATAGATATCTACCTATAATTAGGATGATACATGGAATTAGAGTGAAGTTAATAAGCAAGTAGACTGAGACTGAAAAGAGTGTAGACAAGTGGAGAGGGAACTTTAGTCCTAAAAGTATCAGTCTGTTTGAACAAAACCAAGAGTTGCCTAGGAAATCTAGATTGTTCTTTAATAGTGATGATGGGTATAAGATATGTAAGGGTGATGATAAGCACACTGTTTTTATAACAAGAAAACAGTATACTTGTAGGGCTTGGGATTTGACAGGTATACCTTGCCAGCATGGAATCTGTGCCCTATACCACATAAAGATTGATCCTTTTACCTAAATCTAAAGGTTTGACCATAAGGACACCTTCCTTAGTAGTTATAGAATCAAATTTTAACCTATTAAGGGTAAGAGTTTTTGGAGGATTGATCACTTTCAGCCTATAGAGCCACCCCCTATTTGTAAAATGCTTAGTAGGCCGAGGAAAAAAAGGACCTAAACTGAAGAAATTGACAGAAGAAGAAATGTTTTCAACTCTCAACCAGGGGTGGGAGAAGGCAGTGAGGGTGCATCTAATTTGCCTCTACCTCTACCAGAGAAGTTAAGCAAAAAAAGAGGTCCTTCACATTGTACAATCTGCCAACAACAAGGCCATAATAGAGCAACTTGCAAAGAAGTCGGTATCATAAAACTAAATTTGGGCACTTTTCTAATTTCTTCATATATTCTGTGAATTACTACTTGTTATAAACTTTTTTTTCTCAGAGACCAAAATAATCCACCCTAATGACAATATACAAGAGAAGAAAGAAGGCTCACTCTAATATCACTGAATGCACAGAAACCCCACAATCTCAACCAAGCACACGATAATCTGAAGTGACCTCTAGGCCACATGGTGGAAGAGCGTTTTACAGGACTCGACTTGCAACTGGCATGGGAGTTACGATTGATGAAACTATTGGAAAGATAGCATATAATGTATTACTTGTTATGTTTATGTGGTTTAATTTATAACATGTTGTTGCATTTAACATATTATAATTACCATTTTCCTTATTTGTGATATAGCCTGGGCTGGATTCACAAGTTGTGCTTCATGAGGAAATAGGACAAGATTATATGGCTCACCATGCAGATGTGGAGATACGGTTTTCCATGCCTAATAAGAGGAAATTGAGGTCACAGAGTAGCTCTACTACTTCCAGCAAGCAAGGACAAAGGGTGGTTTAATTTCAAGGTGATAGTGCAAGTCCTCATATGCCATCTAAACTCTCATTTACTCCTCCAAGTTTGACTTGGAGAGGACAATTGGCTGTAACTACTTCAACTCTTTTAGCACACAAACAAGCAATGTCTGTTGTATATTCTTGAAAGAACATAGTTCATAGGAGAGGGAAGGGAAAGTAGTTCCATGTAGACCAATTTGTAGTATTTTGTGCTATTGTGGGACATGTAAAATCAGTTTGCACTTTTGCTAATTGTCACACTAACATCGGATCATTTTGGATTACATATGATTTGTTGGTTGACTTCTCTATGATGTAACATGCTGTGTGAACAACTTATTTAATCACTGTCAGGTTATTTTTATGTTACTCATGTCTCTAATGTTACTTAGGTTATTTTTATGTTACTCATGTCTCTAATGTTACTCAGGTTTTTTTTATACTCTCGACAATTAAATTAACTCATTAATAGATGTTTTATGGTTTAATTAGTCATTAAACTTTTATGAACAAAGAAAATTGGACATTTTACATATACTTCCAATTTCACATTTTTCCTATTGACAAAACTTGCCATTTTATCTTATATTCAATTACTTATCACTTCTTTGTCTTATTCTATTAACACTTATCGATTAATTTCTTACCTTATAGGTGTTTAATTAATTATCTTAATCTAGATTTCTTGTCCATTATAATTATCTTAATCTAACTATCCTTACATGTTGCAAATCTATTGAAATAGACCAACAATAAATCAGTAGCCTTACTATATTTCATTGACAAAAATATCAACATGTCATTGTCATTATATTTAACTCTTACAGTTTCTAGTCAAACTAAATTCCATGCTCCAAAATAGTCAGTCATCCTAACATTCATATCCATTCTCCTGTCCCACATTATTCACATTTTAAGTCAATATGAAAGCAAATAACATGACCCAAGTCACAGCCAGTGCACATAATGCCATCTTCAATCTTCGTTCTGCCTTCTCCACTCTCTTAGTTATGCAACTCATCTCAACTTCAACATCAGGGCGACCTTTATGGCCATCAGCCATGCTCTACCTTTCATTTCTATCAAACATCTTATCCAAAATGTCTACTAGTTAGTTTATCAACACCGCCACCCTCTCCCCTATCTGTTCATTATACCATTGGAAAAATCCACACCCACCTCCCTGAAAAGATTAAAAAAAAATCAACTTGACAACTTTACTAGAGACAAGGTCGAAAAATAAATCTAAATAAGCCATTCACATCAGAGACTCCACACCGCAATTACACACCCTCGTCAGCCTCTCTTACCTGTTCATAGTTCCCACATCCGAAGAACCTCCTCCCTGGGTTTGCATTGTCCAAGAAGTTCACAGGGGAGACTCCACACCGCAGTTGCATATCCTCCTTAACCCATCTTTGTTTACCTCTACTTCATGCTGTCTCACAAATCTGACACCCCTCCTTCTTATTGTTGTCATTGTTGTCGCAGATGTTGTCGAATTCTTTGTCTCATTTAATCCTTCACCTGCCTTTCTTTCTTTGACTTCCTCTGGTCTAGGTTTGCTCCTTTTAACCTAGCATTTGTCATTAATGAGGGCTGACCTATGTTCCATTTTTTGTCTACCCTTTATTTCCAAAATCATACCTGTTATCTTATGTGGGCATATATCTTACGTGGCAAATGACCGTGAGTTGAAAGTTAGATCCGGTCGACATTGCTGCGAAATTTACACTTCCAAGGTGACATTGAGGCCAAAAAAACTTCTGAACACTCATAGCTCCGACATGAACACTTCTGGAGTAAAAATACACCCTATCCCTAAAATCAAATAAACTCATTGTTTTTGCGAGCTAGTTGAGATTTTTTTTTGACATTATTTGATTTAAGATCTCAATTCGTTTAACTACTAGATGATTTAAATAGATCAATCAACTTGTTTATTACTTAAAACTCTTATTGGGTTGACTTACCACAAATCAAGACGTGCACATGACAGCAAAAAATTTCTTCTCTTTGAAACACACACTTCTTAAATCAAATGGAGAAAAAATAATTCTTATTTAGATTAACAATAAACTAATTGGATGTGGTTCAATATGCATCTCATGCACTTGGATTATAACAAATTTAATTTCATGAAAAGGACAAAAATCTTTTGTGTGTGATTGTCAATCTTTTTTCTTTTTCATGAACTTATGTGTGAGTGGGGCTATTTAAAATTTACAAATATCTTTTATTTTTTATTATATTTCAAGCCATATTTGATAAGACAGTTAAGCCATTTTTCACATGAGTTTATAAAAGCTACTCATTTTATGAGAGTATTGTAATATGTCCTAAATTTATATCGGGAAAAAAAACCTTAATGTCTTTTTATTTGCCAACCACTATGTTGATACGCTAATTAAAATTAATGCAATATATTTTTTTTTTCTTGTAGTGGTGAGGTGGACAAGGAAGTAAGTGGAGCCAATGCAATTTCAATAACTATTTTTTTTGCTATAAATTTTTATTTTGTATTAATTGTAGATGAATTTTTCAAAATTCTATCTTAACTAACTATTAGTGTGTAGTCGTCTGGCAAAAAAAAAAAAAACTACTAATGTATAAGTCCTTTTTTTAACTAGAAAATCATACTTCAATTACTAATATAAGAGAATAAAACAGACAATTTTACATAAAAGCAAAAGGGAAAAAAATAGACAGCAACAAAATGCAGTCAACAAACAAGCTAGAGAGTTGACAAATTAGCCAATGCCTTCCCTTTTAGCCTCAGAACTATGCTAGCCAGAACTGCAATCTTAAGCAAGAGTGGCTTCACGAAGGATGATAATAGCTAGAGGAGGTGGAGATTCCAAAATCAGACCATTAAGTCCCAACTCCCTTGAAGCTATAGAAGCCAAAAGGTCAACAGAATCATTTCCCTCATGAGGAATGAGAGAAAAGGAAAAGGAACTTCGATCAGTCACTAAATCAAAGATCTCAGCAAGTAAACCATGTAGTAGCCAGGGGCAAAACCGAGATGATTTCTGAATTAAAGCATCAAAGAGGTCTTTGCAATCCATCTCAATGATAATAGGAAAGCATTGCCATTGCTCAGCTAGAAGGACAACTTTATGGACAGCTAGAAGCTCTATATCAAATGTAGAGGAAGCATTTACTTTTTCAGCCCAACCTTTAGAAAATGATCCCTCTGAATTCCCACAAATCACCCCAATGCCAGCTTTGCCACTAGTTTTGCAAAAAGCACCATCACAATTAATCTTAAAAGAATTTCCTCGTGGTTTCCCCCACTTAAAAGAGGTTTTAGATTCCACGTAGGTTGGTGCTATAGGAAATAGGGAATTAGCATCCCAATGCTCATACATAACCTAATTAGTCATCTTAATTGCATCTTCAGGCCTCAAAATAATCTGTTCAAAAATACATTTACAATGCAATTTCTAGATAGACCATAACATAGCTCCAATATAAGCTTTCTCATAGTCAAATTTAGCATCATTTTTCAACAAAAATTGCTCAAGCCAAGAAGAAATGTTTTGAATGTTTAGATGGGTAATAATGAGGTCTACAGCACTCCCAAACCAAGTAGTTTTAACCCAGTTGCAAAGTAAGAAAAGATGCTCTAAAGTCTTGGTATCTTCCCCACAAATTGGACAAACTGGATTTACAGCACACTTACGTTTAAATAAGGCTTCTTTATAAGCTAAAGCTTTGTTAAGAATGCGCCAAAGAAAGCTTTTAATTTTTGGTATGGTTTTTAGTTTCCAGACTGTTGACAGATTCTTGGCTTTACTTTCTTGGAAGTAGAAGCTTGGGTAACCAAATTGTTGCCATCAGTAGTAGCTTGTTTTAATCTGTAACCATCCCTTACACTATAAACTCCATTCTTGGACAGGGTCCAAACAAGAGAATCAGACCAGGGAGTGCTTCATAGGGGGATCTACAGCACAGAGTTATCAACCTGCTCAGAGATGTTAGTAAGATCCCACAATCTATCTTGGATAAGTTCAGCAACTACCATATCTTGATTCTGAGATGAGTTGATACCCATAGGCATTCTAAAATTTTTCATGCCAAGGATTTAGGGGTCTTTCCACACATCTATATAATGTCTCCCCTGCCAACTTGCCAACACATATTCTCTTTTAAGAACTTCCCACTAGTGAGTATACTATCCCAAACCCAAGACGCTTTAGAACACTTTTTTGGTTTCATAAAAGAAGTATAAGGGAAATAAATACTTTTCAATAATTTCACCGAGAAACTATCAGGATGTTGCAAGATCCACCAAGCAGTTTTGGCATGTAATGCATCATTAAATCCCATGAAGTCCTTGAACCCCAAACCCCCATCTTTCTTGGATTTTGATAAAGTTTTCCAAGCAATCCAATGGGTTTTTCCAGCACTGTTTGAGTTATCCCAGAAAAAATTTGACACCAAACTATTAAGAGCCATACAAGTATTTTTAGGGAATTTAAAGCAGGATATAGGGTAAGTGAGGATAGCACTAACCATAGCTTTAATTATAGTCTCTCGGCCAGTAAAAATGAGACATTTTTTCTTCCAACCTTGTACTTTCCTTCCCATTTTATCATGAACATAAGCTAGAGCAGAATTTTTCGATCTACCCCAGAGGATAGGGAGACCTAAGTATTTCTATGGGTTGTCTACTTCAGCAATATTCATACATTCCACTAAATCTGATCTTACTCCATCCAGGGTATCTTTTGAGAAAAAGAGGCTTGATTTATCATAATTCACCCTCTACCTAGACACATTATAATAATCCTACAACAGTTTTATAAAAAGACTACATTTATCCAGATTTGCATTTAAGAAAACAGTAGTATCATCAACAAAGAGACTAAGTTATCACTAGCACCCCTGTTAGTGATTTTAATACTAGCCAAAGTTCCATGATTTGCATTAAAGGAAATCATTGAGGAGAGAGCTTTGGAAGTTAGGATAAACAAATAGGGGGACAAAAGATCTCCTTATGTAACACCTCTTTGGGGGTGTAATAGAAGCTATCTTTCGTCCAAACAATTGAATATTGAATTCCACAATTTGAATACAACTCATAATCTAGCTTATCCACTTAGAACAAAAATTCATTTTCAACATGACTCCTTTAATAAACTTCCACTCTAGTCTATCATAGGCTTTGTTCATGTCCATCTTGAAGGCTAGCTCAACTTTGTCCCTTGAGATTTTGTTTTTCAGATAATGAAAAGCTTCACGTCTTATTATACTATTATCCTGAATAAATTGGTTAGGCATAAAGGCCCTTTGATGTTCAGAGGCACAATCATCAAGAACCACTTTCAATTTATTTGCTAAAACCTTTGTTATAATTTTATAAGCAAAATTGCATGAGCTAATCGACCTAAACTGGGAAACAGTTTCAGGAACATCAACTTTTGGGATTAAGATCAAGTTTGTTTCATTTAGAGGGCCCAATAAATCACCATTATCAAAGAAACTACTAACCATTCTGATAAGAGAGAATCTAACCTCATTCCAAGAAACATGATAGAAATAACCATTGAATCCATTGGGGCCTGGTCCCTTGAAAGCTGCAAGTTGAAATTTAGCTTCCTTGATTTCAATCTCATAGATGGGTTAAGTTAGGATTTGATTATGGACATCTAGGATCTTTGGTTGAATGTAATAAAAAACTATGTCAAGGTGGTCTTTAGGGTTACTAGTGAATAGTAAAGAGTAAACACTAGAGATGAAGCTTACTATTTCATCTTCCTTATCCACCCAGTTATTGGACTAATCCTTCAACTTAACTACAAGGTTATGCTGCCTTCATACCATTATAGACCGATGAAAGAATTTTGTACTTAAATCACCAACTTGCAACAAATTTTTCCTGCCCGTTGCCACCAGTAGATTTCTTCTGTTTTCTAGACCTCCTCTAACTCAGCACTAATTCTTTCAATGTTACACGTTGATTCAAGCGTATAAATATCAGCTTTTAGTTCTTCAATCTTTGACGTCATACTAGCAATTAGTCTCCTATTATTGGAAACACTTCTTTACTTCATTTGATCAAACTAGATCTGCATCTGTCAAGGCAGTTAACAAAGGATATAATTTCATTGGATCCTTTGTCCACTTCAATCTACAAACGCTTCCTAATATTATTTAAGAAATTGGGATGAGAAAGCCAAATCGCTTCAAACTTGAAAGTCCTAGGAGTTTTAACATCATCATAATGAAGAACCACCAAAAACATATGATGGTCAGAAGCAATTGGTTCCAAGTAAATAGCGAGAGCTTTCGGAAAAGTTCTTTAAACTCAACATTACAACACTCGATCTAACCTTTCTTTGACATGGTCACTTTCAACCCGTTGGCTGCACCACGTGAATCTAGCTCCCTTAGCTTCAATACACACTAATGTGTAGGTCCTGTACATTATATTTTGAGTCCAATATATATATTTATATGAGTTGCACTACCTTTGGGTCTTGTATATAAATTTCAAATAAATTAAACATGAACTTTATGGGCAAGAAAAAAGTAAAGCATTTTGGATGGAAACAAGATAAAAACATAATAAGTGCATTCGAATTGGACCAAAATTATTATCATTCATAAATTTGCACGTTGATACACATTCTTATGATTTTTGTGTGATAAAGGGGTTAATTAGAATATCGCACTTGCTATAATGGTGACCATATCATCATCAAGTATCTTCACTAAAAGTGGATGATAAATAGCCATGTCATGTTCCACCACCACCAACATCATTCCCATTCCACTTCACATTATCAATTGCTGGCCGCTGTAACTTCAACATGTACACCATGCCCAATTTCCTTTTTTTCTCTTCTCTTCTTCTTCTTTTTTTTTTATTTTGGAAATTCGTTTAACTAGACATGTGTTTTTGTTTTTGCTTTTTTTAAGGGTTAATATCGTTGCTAAACCTTACAACTTAATTTAATTTTTGTTTTGGTCTCTGTAGTTTTATAAGGACTTAATCTGAGTTTAAATATAAGAAGAATCAAAACCAAAACTTAATAAAAGTGCATGGGCCATTTGTTAAACTCAAATTAAAAAAACTATGAAACTATAAGGATCAAGACTAAAATTATCACATTACAATAACTGACAATAGTATTAATATTTTTTTACATAGATTATATATATAGATTTTTTTAATATTCAAAAAGAAAGTGATACAGATTAAAGAGTAGCAAACACTACCAAAAAAAAAAAGACTTTCAGTGGCAACATTAAGATTTGCTGCTAAAAATCTTGACTATAAATGTTACCGTTGAAAGTGTACTTTTAGTAGTGACTTTTCAAAGTTGCCGCTGAACATAATTTTCAAAAGTGAGACTTTTAGCGGTGATTAGTTATGTGCGGCAAGTCAACATGTCGCCACTAAAAGCACCTTTCAGCAACGACACTGAATATCAGCTAAGAAAGTCTATTTGTAACTTTTTATTATTATTTTAAGTTTTTTGAAAAAGCTATCTTATTTAGACAATAATTTTGTTCATTAATATAACTTGTTATCATATCAAAAAATATATATATAATTTGTTATGACAAAATAAAGCATTTTCACATGTTATTGTGTTAGAAAGAGAGAGAGAAAGATAATACAGTGTGTGTAAGAGTAAAAGAGAGGGAAAAAGGAAGGAATAAGTGTGTGTATAAAAGCAAGATATTATAATTAGGTGTGTGAGAGAGTTAAATAATTATGATAAAATTTATAATTAAATTTTATTGTTTTTTAATACTATTTTCATGTTTGATAAATATAAATATTAAAATAAATAATATAATAGCTTAAATAATTAGAAATAAAAAAACATAACACAAATAATATTGTATGAATTATATTTTTTTATACAAAATTGATATTATAAATAAATATTTTAATCAAATAAGAAAATAAAATATAAATATCTAATAATAATATTATTATTTAACAATGTTTAATATATTATCCTTTAATATTGACTTTTTATCGCCGTTGAAAGTCTATTTCAATATCTTATATATCACTATTATATATATATATATAATTTTATAATAATTATCATTAGATTCATTTCGGCTCAATGACAAGAAGAAAGGACACAAAAGGAGGAGGTTAGGATTTTGAATCACAAAAGAACTGTATTTAAAGTGATAATATCTAATTGGCGATGTGACACATCGAGGAGGGGACATATGGCATAAGCGAGGTGGTGAGTGACATGGCGATGGTCGGCAATAATGTGGTAGCAGCAATGTTGGTCCTAATTTTCTCCGGTGACACTTTCAGCAGTGAGAAAAAGGTCTTCAAAGGGCGGAATGGTATTTTAGCGGGAACTCTTCTCGCTGCTCAAACTATACT